AAAACTATGTATTGTATAATATAATAATTATTCAAGTGGATTAGGTGAAGTTCGGGTTGAGTCGGTCGGGTTACCGGTTAGTCGGGTTCGGATTGATCGGGTTCGGGTTAATCGGGTTTGGGTTTAATCGGGTTGCGGGTCAATCGGGTTCGGGTTAATCGGGTTGCGGGTCAGTCGGGTTGCGGGTTAGTTGGGTTGCGGGCCAATCGGGTTGCAGGTCGGGCAGGTTGCGGGTTGTTGACTTTTAGTCAGTTCGGGTTGCGGGTCGGGTTAATCGGGCGGGTTAATCGGGCGGGGTTCTGTTTTAACACCTATAGTATTAACCCTAGATAAATTGTGATATTTGCTAATTGCTATACCCTAACCATATATCCTATACTCTACACCACATACCTTGTACCCTAACCACGTACCATAAACATAAATTAAAAAGGGATCTCCTGCCATTAAAGACTTCAAATGACTTCAAGTGAACATATGTTAATAAAAAACTTAGAACCGTCAAAAGCATCAATATCTTATACTCTAACCATATACAGCCTAAACCATCAATACCTTATACCCTATATCCTAACCATATACTTTATACCCTAAACAACGAAGTGTCAAAGATTACTTATCAAGTTTAGTATAATTGTTGTAACTAATGGTTAGTTTATTTATTAGCCCATAAAAAATTACATATATATATATATATATATTAGCCTTCAAAGCATATAAAAATAAATTTAACTAGTCATGCTCTCCATATAAAAGTTAAAAATTCATATTTCAAAGGCTAAAATTTTGAAAAAACAAAAAATTGAAAACACAAAATTTGTTTTCTTCTTTCTTTAAAAAAAAAAAAAAAAATTTCCCTCCTTCGTTCTCCTTCCATAAATTAGAAACAAACAATTTTCCCTCCTCTTTCTCTTCCATAAAATTGAAAGAACCAAATTTCCCTCTTCTTTCCACAAAAAGTTGAAAACTCAAAATTTCCCTCATTTGTCTTTCATAATCAAAAGAACCAAACTTTCCCACTTCTTTCTCTTCCCACAAATCAAAATCACCAAAATTTCCACTTGTTTCTTTTCTAAAAAATTCAAAAAATAAAATTTCCCTCTTCTTTTTCTTCCCAAAAAGTTGAATACACCAAAATTTCTCTCTTATTTTAAAAACATCAAATAACCAAATACATTACTTTAATTATATATATTTAATTGATAATTTTATTGAATAGTTAAATTAACCAAAATTTTAATTTATATATATTATATTAATATTGTCCATGATCTCAATTATTAATTCTTCATTATCAATATTGACATTATGTTGATTTCATATTTACTTTTTATTTTTGTTAAAGAACTTAGTGTTCAAGTAACCTTCATGTTTCAATTTTTGTAATTTTCTTAAAATATATAATATCAAGTGAGTTTCATATTTTTTAAATTCCCTATACGAAATGAAAAAATAATTTTACTTAAGTTTAGAATGAAAAATTTTATTTTGAAAAACTATGTATTGTATATTATAATAATTATTCAAGTGGACTAGGTGAAGTTCGGGTTGAGTCGGTCGGGGTAGTCGGGTTCGGGTCAATCGGGTTTGGGTTAATTGGGTTGCGAGTCAATTGGGTTCGGGTTAATCTGGTTGCGGTTCAGTCGGGTTACGGGTCAGGCAGGTTACGGGTTGTTGACTTTTAGTCAATTCGGGTTGCAGTCGGGTTGATCGGGCGGGTTAATCGGGTCGGGCTATGTTTTTGCACCTATACCTATGGGCTAGTGGCGGACCCAGAAATTTTCCATAGGAGTGTCCTCTTTTAAAAATAAATTATAAAAAAATAATGAATAATTAATAAAAATAAAATCGTAAATTTGAAAATACCTTACTCGCACAGGTTAAAAAAGTCCATGATTTGTTTTCATATTCGGAAATAATTGTAGAATATACTTGGTGTCTATAGTGTTAAAAAAAATTGTCTCTATATACCCTACTAGACAATCATTTACGAACTTGTCGCATATTCGATTTGTAAACTTGTTCTCGATGTAACCCAAAGCTGAAAGACTCTTTCAACAATTGTAGTATTAAGGGTAGCTTGAAATTAGTTTAATTGTTAGGTTTTTAAAATGAATAAAGATTAGGAAATGACATTTTACTATTACATTTTTCAAAATCGAACAACAAATGAGTTGTAGGTCAATTAAAATTAAGTTTATTAATAAGAATAGTGTTCTAGATTTGAATTACCCAATCTACCATTTATATTCCTATACACAAATAACAGTAAGATAATCATGTTTTCAAATTTCAGAGGTGTCCCTCACTATCAATTATATATATTTTTTTCCATACATAAATTACGACAAGAAATTGGATAATCGTATTTCCAAAATTTAGGGATGTCCAGGTACACCCCTAAAATCCCCTGGGTCCGCCCCTGCTATGGGCTATGGTTACCTACAAGTTGCCATTGCTGCTTCATCTTGAAAATATCTACACGGTCCTTGCGGAATTGACGATCGCATCCTGAAAAATCGAACCGCCCAGATCATGCTATTTCTCAGCGCCATCGTTGGAAACCGTCGAGGGGCCCAAGGGCCAAAAAGGACATCTCAGCCAAAAAATCACCAAAATACTACGCTTTCTTAAACCCTCGCCAGCCCTCACTTTCTTCAAACCTTATCCCTCTATCCATCTCCCTCCTTATCTCCGAAACCTCCGTTCCTTCAAAGCCATGGCTGCCACTGCTACAGCTACGGCTTCCGCTTCAACCCTAATTCTCCCGTCTGTCAACGGGAAGGCCTTTTCCTTCTGCTCCCTCGCCAAACCCACTTCCGTGTTTTTTGCTCTCCCTTCTTCTTCGCTCAAGCTTTCATGTCTCCACTCCTTGGCTCCCCTCCCTCAGATTGTTTCACCTTCCTCTGTTTCCGCTCGCTTTGTGAGGAGGGTTTCGATTTCTTCCGAGTTCGACCAAGAAGAAGGCCTGCTCAGCGACAGCGATGAAGGAACCAGTTTCTCGCCTGCCCTCAAACTGTTCGTCGGGAACCTCCCTTTCAGTTGCGATAGCGCGCAGCTAGCTGAGATTTTTGAGACTGCTGGAAATGTTGAGATGGTTGAGGTAATTTTGGTCGAACTGTTGCGTGTTGCTTTGATTAAGTTGTTTGGATAATGCTGAAATGGCTGTAGATGTTTTAATTCTATCGTCAGAAGTAGCTCTCCTAGTCGATGCCAAATTCTTCGCCTGCTGAAATAGTCGTTGGTGTTCCTCTGACAGGTTATATATGACAAGGTAACTGGAAGAAGCAGGGGGTTTGGATTCGTCACCATGTCCAGTGTTCAGGAGGTTGAAGCTGCTGCTCAGCAATTCAATGGCTATGTGAGTCCAAACATTACGCTATCCATTTGTCAATGTCTATCCCTAGCGCTCCCATAACATCCTGCTAGTAATGACTGCCAATTGTTTGATTTCTACTATGAATACTTGGGTTTGTTTGTCTTCTTAGCGACAGTTTTGGTTAACCTTGCTCACTTCACAGGAACTCGACGGAAGAGCATTGAGAGTGAATGCTGGCCCCCCTCCACCTCGCGAGAGGGACTCACCTTTTGGCAGAGGAAGCAGAGGCGGGGAGTCCGCGTTCGCTAGAGGAGGCAGAGGTGGTGGCGGCGGTGGTTATGGTGGTGGGAGAGATGATGGGGGCAACCGCCTCTACGTAGGGAACCTATCGTGGGGTGTCGATAACTCAGCACTTGAGAGCTTGTTCCGTGAGCAAGGAGATGTTGTGGAAGCTAGGGTTGTTTATGATAGGGAAAGTGGTAGGTCAAGGGGGTTTGGCTTCGTTACATTCAGTTCAGCCGATGACATGAATTCTGCCATGGATTGCTTGAATGGCGCTGTAAGTTTGCTGTTCCTTTCCGCTTTTTTTGTTTGCTTGTTTGGTTGGTTGATTTTCATTCTGATAGATAGGGTACTTTTATGACCTGTATGTGTTCAGTATGTTGCATAAGCGTGATCTCGAGCTCAGATATCATATCAGCAGTCAAGTGCGTTGTTGTTAATTTGTGCTGTCCTTGATTGCTACCTGCGGCATAGTATGTACAGTGATGCTTAATGTTTCCTTATTCGTGGGTCTTGTTTCAATGTTTCAATTGAGCTAGCCCTAGCCGGTGGTTATGCATGCCGAGATTAGTTACATCCACATTGTCGATTCTCTTATTACTTGGCACATGCAATACAAATGTGAACTGATTTTAACAATATGTCGTTCTGGTTCAGGAATTGGATGGGAGACAGATTCGGGTTTCTGTTGCCGAGGCTAGGCCCAAGCGTTTTTGAACATTCAACATTAGCTGCATATCCATCTTTCAGGTACTTGACCCAGCTTGTTGTACTTGGTTCTTCTGTATATGATTGTTGGATTGTGCACAGCAGAACAAGTTGACTGGTCTTTCACTAATCGCCAATCGTGGGCTTGTGCTTCCTTGCTTGTTGCTGATAAACTCAGAATGACTGATGCAGGGAATCAACTTCATCAAGACATTATGGAGTGCCTTGCAACTGGGCTACGTTGGTGAATTTGAAGAGCTGGATGGCATGTTCACTGCCCAGAGGTCGTCAATGCTACCGCTCCAGCTGGTTTGCAAAACGTAGGGTCCTTTTCATTTGTTTTGCGGATACAGGAGCAACATCCCCTAACTTTTGGCTTTGAATCCCTTGATTACTTCATATTAGAAACACGGAATGGAGTCTTTCTACTAGAGTGCTCTCTCTGCTCTTATGCATGACCCAATATTTTTGTCTTCCCAGATGTTTGCGCTTGATTTTAATTTTGGAAGGAATGAATTTTAGTCATCGTTGATGTAGTATTCTTCGGTCGATTGCAGACTCCCACCTAATTGCCATATCCTGATCCAGGTTTTGGCAAGTCGGGTAGTTGGATAGCCAGTATTGAGAATGAGAACCATTCACAATAAGTACCAGTTTTCGAGCCTACAGTAATAACTTAGGCATTGGTGGCTTATATCTCCACTTTGGTTGGAGCTAGATGGTGCAAGTCCTCGTGAATCAACGCTGTGAATGCGCTGCGACGACTGTTCTCCACAAAATACCCTGTGACAATTCCCTTGCACATAACTCGCGCAGCTGCCTCTGGTCGACAAGCAATGAGAATGAGGGTTTGCCAAAGCGGACGAACGTTGTTGGAAACACCTTCAATTGGTGACGGCGAGTAAGTACATACATTGAAGGATTCACCAATCACCACTCATTGCAGACTGCCAGTGCCTAGCAACCATAACCCCATAACGTCCTCGTTGCTCCATCCCTCCGACTGTAGAAAAGATAAGGTCCTCTCACCTAGTGTTGGAAGGACGTCCTCTCAGCGGAGAATATGATATTTGTGTAATGATAATATAGTATACGATTTACAGGAATACATATTCGTTCAACAAGAAAATTGTATTCTTATAATATATTCTTATAAATTCTTTCGTAGTCTGGATATATTAAATTTATGTTGTTGAGATGACTGTGAAATTAACAATTAATTTATTAACTCTAGCAGATTCTCTTAATTGAGTTGGTAAGAAGGGAGAAGGAATCTGGGATATTCCTAGAAGCAAAAGTGGACCTTTTGTGAGTGTTAATCAACAGAAGGGTGATTAAGTGAGTTAAACTTCGTGGATTAGCACTAACTAAGAATCAGATTACTTTTGTTTTTGGCAACAACCATGAAGGGTGTTCAAAGAAGCCTCAATACGTACTACACTCTGGAAGTATCGATTCTACATAATTATACTAGTTATGATAAAAAGTTTTGGCTTCTACATAATTATATTAATATCACTAGCTTTATATCCGCCTGTTGGCCGGTGTGTTTTGCTTGATTGTTCTTTGTTGTTGTATTCTTATTTGTTTATAGTTCATGTAAATTATAATAATATGCATGAAATTGTTAATCTTAATTACCTTATTTCAATTATTGTTTCACACGTTTTTATCTATTGTTTATTTATTAAAAATGTTAATTTTTCTAAATTAACTATTTGTAGACCTTTTGTTTATTGATTTATAATTTGGTATCGAAACTGCTGCATAAGACATAAGTATTGAATGTAAGAATTATAAAAATAACTATATCACACGTTGATTTATTATCGGACTCATAGAGAATATTACAATCTAATTTTTTTTGTATATCATGCAACATTAGTTGTCTTTACACTTTTGGAAGAGAGGAACCACATTTTCATCTACATCGTCTATCTTCAGCTTACTCATTTAATTTACCTTGAAAATATTTAACAAAACCAACAACAAAACTAACTATCAGTTGCAAAATAAAAAAAAAACATAGAACAATATATTCAGCAAACCAAACCACTTATACACACAATTTATATTTATTAGAGAGCTACAAATTCCTTGCGCTTTTTTATCTAATATTATTAGGCGTATGGTTAGAAGAGTTGGATAACACGTATCAAACAATGGGGAAGTATTCAACATATCTTTCAAACTTTTGGGTAGCATGTCAGACTGACATAATCCAAGACAAGCAAACTAGTAAAAAGGAAAAAAAAAACCAATGATCCGACTGAAGTTAATTGAAGGATAATGAGATCAATTATTCAAAAAATATAGCCAAAAATTCAAATCTAAACGTGTCGCACTAATGGGTTAAGTGCATACTGCGATTTAATATGTCAAACTAAATTGCACATTCTTTTACCAAAAACTCACTAACCACTTTATCCGATAAACTAAAGTGAGAAGCAGAATAAAGGGGTTTTCCTAAAATATTATATTTTCTAAAAATATTATCCAAAATACTACACTTAAGAAAATATTCTCAAATCTACTATCAATATAAGCGAATTGGGGCGGGCGCGCATTGGGGCGCGCACTCCCCAACCGGGCTTATTGCCGCCTAAAAATGCTATTCTCTCTCCTTTTCTTTGTGGGTTAGGCTTCTTGACCCCTACATGACTTCTCCTCGTGAATTGGGTGCATGTTGGGCTCATCCTCCTTAACAGTGGTCGGACCCGATGCAAGGCCGCCACTGGTTTCTTCGTCAGCTTTGGCCGAGTCTTGATTTTATATGACAACTTCTAGTACACTTCTCCGTCATTGGACTTCATCTTTTTCACGAAAACTCCATTTTCTTCTATTTATAGCTCCTTTTCGTCCTCCAGAGGACTCTAGTGCCTGATCCAATTTTCCATAGATTTATTTGTACCTTCAATCCACAAAAAACATACCCCAGAAGACATCAAAGAGTACATAAACATAACATTGGTCTATTAAAGGCTTATTGAGTTACCTCTGCCAAACAATTGGGGAGGAGAATGACCAGCAAAGCCTCATTGGTCGTATGACAAACACTTATGGCTTCGCCTAGCTCAAAGTCATAAAAGATAGAGCGGAACCCATGGTTTGTCTAATTTAAAGATGCAAAACAAAGTATTACTGGGAGATAGCCTAGATTTGTGCTTTCTTTCGTAGAGTAGCTTTCATATTTGCCTAAAATTATTAAATTCGATTGGCCCTAGCTCCTGGGATGCACGTCATCGTCAAAGCTTCATGGAATGACATATGGCTGGGACAAATTGTCGTCTCTACTTCTTAAAGGTATTACTAAACCCATGCTATATATTGATTTCTCATGGTGTTAAATGAATTTTTGATTGGTATCCTTGGGAACATAAACAACAACTCAAATTAGAACCACCCCATCCACCTCAATTGGCAGAAAAATTGGCGAAGCAAGCACTATTTATGAGAGGTTTCAGAGTTAGGATGAAGATCGTGAAATAGTCCTCGATTCTTTTTTATTCTTCTTTGTTTGTGGACTCCTCAAGATCGCGACCGCGACTATTACGTGTCCCGTAATCTGTTCGTGGCTTGAGGAGAACTCGATCATGAATTGGCGCCTTCGGTTGTGAAATTCTATTTTGCCTCTCTTTGCCCATTTTTCCTTACACATGAGCCATGTTCTTTGCCAATATCGCTTGTATTCTCTTATGCCACAACAAATACCATGAGAATGCAAAAGGCAGGCAATCTAGACTACAATGGGGAATTAATGACTTGTATGCTCAAAATGGAACGAAAATACTTAAGAAATGAAGGCTAAATAACACCTTTTTAGGTGATATCAAATTCCCCCACACTTAAGAGTTTGTTTGTCCTCAAGAAAAGATATAGTAAATATCGCTACTCTACCCTTCCTAACCATCCGTATGCAAGGTGATTCATCGAGAGTTAGTTGTTGACTGACTCGTTCCTAACTACATAATTAAATCCCGACTAAATCCCAAGTGCAAATTCTAGTAGGATGTAGGATAGGGAAGTCGTTTTAATTGTCAACCCGAGGCAGTCCATGTACTCCTACTTCAATCATTTAAACTGTTATCTAGTAAACAATTTGGAGTTAAAGCTAAAGAGCTTCAGTTGAAACAAAAGAAAATAAATTGCGATGAACTCGATGTGAGAAGGCTTCACCGGGTATTGCTATCCCTAGTCTTGTATCAAGGATAGCCGAATGGAACTCTAGTGTGGAAGGGTGTGTTCATAAACCATGAGGAGGTTGCAATTAGTGGAGAAACCTCACTCTCTTATATGAAAAATCAAGGAATGTCGAAATAAGCTAGGAACCTAGCTCTCTTGACTAATCGACTAAGGATTGTTAAGACCAATCCCTCGGAAGCTAATATGGAATGGTGAAAAAATAACCAATCATGATAGTTTCATGGCACTAATCCGATGCTTGAGGCCTACCCTTAATTGCCCTATATGGGGTTACCCAATTTGTCAAGAAATCTATCTTCTTAAGACCCAAAGGGGGATTTCGTCCACAAAGGTCAATTTGACCTAACTTTCAGATATGAAGAACAATTCTCAAGAATCATGAAAACACCTCAAACATTGTATTAAATACAAACCCAACACACATAGCATTCCCTTCATAAAACCTATCACATTTATAGACTAGGATTTACAATACCCTAGTAAATTAGAGAACTACCCCATGACTAAGAAGAGGCATACAACTAAGACGGAAAGAATAACCATGGTAAGTTGCTTCTATTCAACCTTAGTTGCTTGGATTGCCTCCTTGGAGGAGAAATCTCCACTCTTCAAGCCTTTGGTAGGTCAATAACTCCTTCTTCCTCCTTTGTTTCGTGACTTTCTCTCTAGCTCAAGAAGAAGAAGCCAATCTCACTCTAGAATTCCCCCCTTTTGTTGCATCTCACTCCTCTTTTTATACTTCAGTCGGGCGATTATCACGGTGAAATCTCACGAAAGTGATCTCGGCGGCTTGCTCGTGATCTCGAGCAACAATACGCCATTTCATTTAGAGATTTCACATTCGGGGGAATTTCCACGGTCCGGTGCCCGTGATCTTCAACTTGTCTGTGAGGCGTACAAAAGCTCCTGGATCCCGTTGATCTTCACGATATGCCCATATTAATAGGTCATGGGCCGTGACCTTTGCCTTTATGTCCATTTCGCTCCATTTTAGCCCTCTTTTGTTCGACTTTCACTCTTAAGCTCAATTCCACCTGTTAAGATATGAAACATGGTAAAAACATGCACAACCTAGCGTAAAATTGAACCTGGTGTGATAAAAATGCCTCAAGCATCACAAGAATATGAGGTGAAAACATGTATAATTATGCTCGAATCATTGACAACTTCCAAGCAAATTCCGATGCGAGAACTTTCCATTTAGTGAGACTTATCACGTCGGAAAGGCACAAGGGAAATGCACTAAACTGAGTGTAGATAGGCATATGGTACCCAAGTTGATCATTAAAATAGGTTAACAAAATGAATGCTCTTGATGGTGTTTTTCTAACTTTGCCAAAAACCTTTATACTTTCCATTTAGTGAGACTTATCACGCCGGAAAGGCACAAGGGCAATGCACTAAACTGAGTGTAGATAGGCATATGGTACCCAAGTGGATCATTAAAATAGGTTAACAAAATGAATGCTCTTGATGGTTTTTTTCTAACTTTCCTAACAACCTTTATTCTCTTTTCTATTTACTTTAAGGGTTGTAGCAACTTTGAACTTTCATTTTTTTTTCAAACCGTGCAAGTGGGAGAATTGATTTTTGTGAAATTTCCGCCTACCTATACATCCGCCCTTGTGGAGAGGCACAACATGGAGATGACTGACCTTCGAATGGTTGTGAGCCAAAACTACCCAGGGTCCCCATGTGAATCACCCTCTAATTTTCAAGCAATCGAGAGTAGTCGTCTTTGCGTTACTATACTAAGGATTCTTTTGAAAGCATTCGATCGGTGCCTCACCTGCATACCTTTGAAGAACAAGCTACAACCCACTTTATTTTGTGTAAAACTCTGGTTACGAAAAAACAAAGAACCGAGCATCATCCAACCAACCTAAGATCGGTCGTGATCTAGAAGCCTAAACTCACTT